AGAATATCAGCAGTCTCGTTTAAAGTCGTCATTTCGTTAGTTCTATTATCGATACAGTGATGTTGTTATCAAATGCAATTTATCATTAAGTCAAATGCTGACTGACGTTTTTCATACTTGTTAGGCTATTATATAAACACTGAATTGTTGACTGATTTTTCCGTTATTTCCTGATCATGACAAGGAGCACACTGCGGGTGAGACCGGTCGGCAGGGGATGCTCACTCCTCCATGGCACCTGATTCCATCTCTGATGTTTTAGAGGTCCGTGTTTGCTCTGCTCCATAATTTGTATTGTTTGATTGACTTTTTAGCTTGAATACTGTTTGTTATCTCCTTATATTTCATATACATACAAACATTTGTCTGTGTTTATTACGGGGCGCAATTGGTACCCATGGAAATTCCGACAGATTGTTGAAAGACCTGATCTCCAAGAACTACAGAGATTTTGTCAATCAGAAACTCTAGCATCTTTTTATTATCTACTTCATAGTACTTGTTTGTACAATCAGAATGTTTTTTAATAAAATAGTTTTGTAAATGACCAATGACAAGGTAAGTAAATTTACAAGTACCATTTAGTATCTAACGTATAGAATTAATATGATCAGAGTAAGTTTCATGACCTTGTAAGAACCATGGTAATTTATATGATGTCAAAATCATAGAAATGCAACCTGATTCAGAACCGAGACTAAATATCGAGAAAACTCATCATATCACTAAAAGCCTTATTACGCACTCCTTCAGCAGGCTATTTTTTTTTAAATTTAGCCCTTTATTGGGGGAAAATGTCACATACTTCCTTTTTTCTTCCTGCAATTGTACTTTTCCAGGGCTGGAGGGTAATAAGCGAATCGTTAAAAATACGTGTTCGTCGTTTATTGCCACTTTATCCATTTTAGAAATCCAGAAAAGGTAGGTCGATCAGATCCAGGATCCGAAGTAAGACGGTTTGAGTTTAAGACAGGTGGAACTTATAGTTACATGCATATGTACTTGGGAATGGACGTACATGTACATGTTCTCCAAACATTTTAGTCTGTTCACTAATAACTATTCTGAAAAAAAAAATTAGGTCAGAAAAAGCATCTGAAACAAGCTATTTATTTAAATAATTATAATCATTATATATAGGATGATTACCAGTTGCAATTGCACAAAAATCAAGATCCGGAATAAATGGAAAAATTATACTTTATGTATTTTTCTGCAATTACATGATTTATATAGTTACCATTCTAAAATGCATCACTTGTGCAGGTTTTGTCACAGTGGGTCTTACAGTTACCTGAGAATTAGCCTGCTCAAAACTGCATGGTTACTTAGGTTGAAAAATAAATTTGGTCAGATCCAAAATACCATCAAGTCTGGTAATGTGTATCCCAAAGATGCACCAACTATGTAAATATATATATATATATATAACCAACTATGTAAATATATATATATATATATATATATATATATATATATATATATATATATATATATATATATATATATATATATATATATATATATATATATATATATATATATATATATATATATATATATATATATATATATATAAGCACTAAAAACCAACACTGTATATCCTAAGTGTCGGATCTACTAAGTAGATACAAGGTCACGGATGGAAATTTATATAAAACACTAAAACTGACCAACGACCTGTCCCTTCCTCAGGACAAAGAAAAAAGTTAAGAAGTCATAAAAACAAAGGAAATAGAGAAGCAAAAACAACTAGCACTACTACTAAACTACCAAACACTAAATATTTACAATGTTACATGTTTAATTTGGAGTTTATAAACAGTTGTGAACCGGATTGTAACAAACTAGTTCATTCCCTCTATATAGTGTAAACTTTACCGTTAATTCGTATTAGCAATCCTGGAACAACCTACCCAAATATTTACAGCTTACATTTTTGTTTATTTCTTTTTTCCGATTTCCAAATTTATAATATATCCAAATTCATATTTCAAAGTTGTCCTTCCATATTATCTTTCTTTAATTTCTTTTTATCATGTAGAGTTACGCTATTTTGAGAGAATAAGACAATGTACGATTTACTGTTGGTCGTAATTAATTAGCGATAATTAATTCGTTCAATTATGTAAATCACACTTCACCCGATAGACCGGACGCAATTCATAGCGCTCCGGATTTCTTTGTTCACAACTGTTTATAAACTCCAAATTAAACATGTAACATTGTAAATATTTAGACTTTTTTCATACCAATTGTTAGGCCTTTGTTTTTGTACTGAATTGACTACGGATAATTCCGTCTACCTGATCAATACATGAGGTTCACCGGTCAAAAGGGGATGCTTACTCCTCCTAGGCACCTGATTCCACCTCTGAAACTTCCTGGGGTCTGTGTTTTATGCCCTCTTCACATATTTATATTGTTTATGGATTTTTTTTTAGATCAATCACTGTTCGTTATCTTTACCTTTTACATTATAGGAGAATTACATGTCATATATGTACATATCAATGTCTCAAAATTAATTCTGTCTGTCTAATACACATTACATTTGTACTCTTTATCATAACATATTAATCATTTTATTATGTTAAGGATTGCAAAAAATTTTAAATACCTTTCATCTTGCTCTTGAAATACCTCGTTATAACAATCATTGATAAAATGGAAAGAACAAGCACTGTAAGACAATCAAAATGATTTCAGTCGTGCGAAACGCCTAAGATTCAGTCTGTATGGTCATTACAGACGCTTCAGTGATCACCTTGGTGGATGAGAACATACAGTGAGTGCAAGTGTCACCCGTACATCCTGCTGTAAAACCGGAAACCGGAAGTAACCGTCAATTGGTCATTTCGGTAATCACCAGCTTTTGCAGGAGAAAAAAATAGTGATTTTATGAGCATTTTTTAAATAATTATAAATTTACACCCCCCCCCCAAGATCCAAACACAATAGGTATAGTAAATTGCTCTAAACGTACAGGTAACTGAAACCTTTATTGTAAATACCTGCAAACAATTCCTAACAACCCATATCAAGTTTTTGTGTGTACCCTATAAATATGAATGTTATAATATTTTGTTTAAATTGATAACATCCTACGTGTACTACAAACAGTAGTGTGCTTTACTTGTCTGTACTGATATGAGCTGATGTCGTTTTCAAATCTGAAATCCTACATTTTCATTCCTTCTGGAGTTGAACATAGATAACGCCGATCCCCTTACTGCTACATTAACATTCTGGATCTCAGTAAGTACCTCATCGACATAATCTTTTATATTTTTACAGGGGAAGCTAACACCTATACACAGTTTATCTTTCACTTTCTCCATTGCAGTTCCAACAGCGTAGACAGCATTCTTAATATGTATGTACAATACGCTGATATTTCGGGGAATGTCTCCAGATTTGTCTCTGTAAATGTTTTCTTTTTTTTTTGGGGTGGGGGGGGTGGGGGGGGGGGGCAATCGACGTCTTTCAAACATTCCAGTAGGACTGCAATGGAACGAGTTGGCCCAGAAGTCCAGAAACTAGTCATTACAAGACTGAACATCTGGTTTAAGAGAGGCTAAATAAGGACAGAAACCCTCCACGACCGATCGTGTCTCAAACTTAGCCTTCCACAAAATTTCATCTACAATGTCTTGCGTTTCATCCCAATCTTCACTAGCTAAGAACACAACACTGTTATAGTTACCCTTCTTCATTTTTTAATAACAACGACTTCAAACTAAAGTCCGTGCCAAAATGCAAGAATCAGAAGTGGTTCTCTTCATTTTATTGATCACATCAACTGAGTTTTGTTTGTATATAGATTTATTGCCACATAAAAAAATCACATAAAATATTAAATAACAAGAACATGAGGGTGGAAAAACGATTTTTTTAAAGAAAGAAACTGCTGATAATATACAATGATTATGTGAAATCATCTTTTCTTAAATTATTTGTTTCTTCCGTGCGACAAACTTTGAAAATTAAAAATATTGAGTGCACAACTAGGTGTGATGATATTTATTTCTGCTACGTTTCATAAATATTTTAGTAATCAATCTACGAGAACACTCCAGGACAAAACTAAGGTTAAAAAAAAAAAACAGTAAGTGGCCCTGACTTTGACCATCATTTCGATTTTTTTTTTCAGAAACCACTTCGATCAAAAGATTGCTTGGGTAATTACCGATAAAAATGAAAAAAAGAATTTTCACTTTTCTTCTGTTTCCATGGCAATGGTAATCATTAATGAATTTGCTTTTACTCAACTTGAGTTTCTCATCATAATTTCTGGGAAATTTCATCACAGTTGTCCAAGCAACCTCTTACAAAATATGTGCGGGTATAAACTGTTTGCAACAGATTCTAACTTTTTTATATATATAAATCACTTAGACACAATGCAAGGAACAGTCCTTTAAAGTTTTTAAATGATTGCTGAGTAGACACTGAGAAAACAGAAATTTAAGAATTTTCACTTTTCCTATTTTTTCTTGCCAACCAATGAGTAACTTGAAAATTTAAAATGTTTTCTGCAGAACTACTATTATTAATTATCTTTTCTTTAAAGTTTTATGACGATTGGACAATGATTCAATGAGAAAAGGCCCAGACAAAATTCTTGGCTTTTCCACGGCAACGGTAATATTTTGAAATTGAAGGTGTTTACTGCACAATAACAGTTGGTGATCATCTTTTGTGGAAAGTTTCAGCAAGATTGTCCCAGAAACCGGCGAGAACATTTACGGACAAAGCTTATTGATAACAATTACAATCCCCGATAACGTTCGCGTTGACATAAAAAGACACACGTTTAGGTTGACAAAATGGTAAAGTGAGAAGTTAAAAATGATTTGACAATCAAAAATATATTCCTTCAGTTTCAACCCATTCAAACAAAATTAAACAAGCTAGAGGGAAAAAAAATCAATTCAATCATAAATGAACAAATCATGTTTTGTAAAGAAAAAAAAAAGAATATACGAATATTCGTCGTTAAGAGAATGTTCAATTATTTTTTATTTCTCTAAGGATCTTCCAGCCATGATATACTGTAGAATCTGGCGTTCACGAGTACGTTTCAATTCCTTTTGTACATCTATAAATTAAATATATCACATTAAAAGAATGGAAATTTGTGCAAATCAAAATTATCTGAGATATATGATGAATTCAAAATAATTCATATCAAAATATTTTCAGGCTTACTATTGCGTTTTCTTTTACAAAGTTTAATCAAGCGCCATAGATTGATGTAGTCAAGGTTTCCGAATGTCCTGCGTCTGAAGTCTTGAATCACGTGGTACCTTTCATATTGCCAAATGAGTGCAGATTTCGCCAGAACTTTTTCATAAGTTGTTCTGTTTAGAGATATTAATTTATAATTTTACTTGTTGCAAATTTACAACTTAAAAAAATAAGGGAAAAGTTATTCAATCTACAAATGAATAATTTCGGAGAGGGATACAGGAAGCTTCAAATAGCCAAAGGAAAACGTTAAAACCTCCGACAGAGAGATACAATTAATAAAATATTTTAAAAAAGGCCATCACAGGCCGATTTTTATCAAAATTTGTAATTAAACTTGAGGATATACATGTATGAAATATAAAGATAACGAACAGAAATTAAACTTCAAAGTTCATTGGAATAATACAAATTGGAGGCCAAGCAAAACATGGACCTCTAAAAGCATACTCATCAGAATACTCACGTAAATAGGGCGATAATTAAGTTAACAATGAGCAGATTGCCCACCATCATATGTATTGCTGCTACTACAGCTTTCACGCTCCAATCAACGTCTGAAAAATTCAAAGCTTTCAAAATTTACATATCTGTATTCGACATCAAACATTTTGAATTTTGAATTATTTTCATGCATTAAGGGGTGTGAAAGGCATAAACAGAAAAAAGTCCATCAAAACTCTTTTCATTGAAACTAGATCACATGGAATTAAAAATATAAATGGAACTTGCATACTCGAAAGAGAGACTACAGATGAATTACCTGCATTGCTTTTCTCCACACCAAACTCATCATCAAACGATTCTCCGTAATACTGGTAGAAGGGATAGTAGATAATACGCCAGATTCGCCAGTCGTACCATTTCCCAGGAAACAAATCTGGTTGGTTCCGGTGGATCATAGCCTCAATAAATATTCCTACCCCCAGCACAAAGAATGCGATCGTAATTAAAAACTGCATCAGATTTAGCAGCTAAAAATATATGTTCAAATGGGTACATTGAAAAATTATATTTTTATAAATGTACGTCGGCCTTATTTTTCAGATGTCCAGCCTACAAATGTGTTTTAATCTATGACATGTGACCTAGGACCAGAGAAGCATTGCAAATTAACTCCTTATCCTTTATAGTATTTCACTGTTGAAAATGTAATAAATGTGTTTATCTACAGGGCCATTTTATACATAAAGTGAACCTAGCTCGTTGTCTATGTAATTTGTAATATTTATTTTTTTAAGATGTGCTATCTCCTTAATCATTATCTCATTATTATCAATTTTAATTCAGAACAGTGATATATATATATATATATATATACATTGGAACAATACAAATTCAAACTGGTATCAGGAGCCATAAAGAAGTATGCATCCCCTGTCGACCAGTCACACTCGCAACGTGATTTCCATGATCAGACAAACGCAAAATTCTGTAGACAATTTAGTCTGAGAACAATGGCCAACAATATGTATGAAAAACTCCAACCAACATTCGACTTAACGACCGATTGTACTTGCTAAAAAGTTATTGTATCGACTATAGAATTTGCTTTAGCATATAAACTGTAGATAAAATATAAAATCAAATCCTATTCGATTTATAACAAAGAAAAAAAAATTGATGTGTATGAACAAGGTTCAAAAGAAGAAAAATTCAAAAAAAAATTCGAAAACTTGGTCAACATTTTGTTAGCGCAACTAACAAGGATAATGATATTTTCTTTTGATAAATTCTGCCTCGGGATCAGTGGAAAACGTATACCGACAGGAAATTAAGGAATGTTTTGGATAAGGAAGTCAAAATCGTATAAAAAAATTAAATAATTTCAAAATCCTCTATTCCAACTTTCTATGATAAATGCATTTAATTGTAGAGATCATTACTTTATGAAATATTACATTCTGCGTTAACTTTGACACAAAATGTAATAACGCAAAATGTAATATTCCAAAAAGGTGTATTTTTTACATTTTTAAGTTGTCATATTTTGCGTTGATTTTGACGCAAAATGTAAAAACGCAAAATGTAATAACAAGGTGATAAAAGTAAAATTCATAAATAAAAACAGTTTGTGATATAATATATATCATCATAGTTCAATCTAACAAGGAGCATTATTTTAACGTTTCATCTCATTAATCATAAATTACAAGAAATGAGAAAGAAAAAAAAGTTCTTGAAGATTGCAGAACTCTGTATTGGTCATTAAACTTTTGGTTTGAATATATAGTTTTGAAAGATCACTTAATGTTCGTTTCAGAAATATTGGTGTCAGGATCTAAAAGTCAAGTTTTAAACGAAAAGTTGCTTTTTGATATGAGAAGAAATAAATATTTATAATAATCAAATAAGATTATAGGGTTATAATCAGGATTGACTGGTCGAGGGGACGTCTACTCCTTCTAGGCCCAAGAACCCGGCTCTGGTGTTTCCAGGGGTCCGAGTTTTTGCCTGTTCATGATTCGTTTTGTTCATTGTATTTGTGAGATTAATCGTTAATCGTTTTTTTTTTTCATTATCACTAAATCCGGAATTTACCAAATAGTTAACTTGTTTAAGATCGATCGTTATCTTCCACTTTTTCACATAAGTGATTTTGATCCAATTCTTCAAGCAAATAAACAAATTGTGCTTTCATTTTGCAAAGAAAACTGGTCACCTTACTTCTTTCGGATTTTTTTTTATGTTAAATATATTCAGAGAAGGCTTGCAAAACTAATAAAACTTGAAAAACTACAGACACAAAGAATGTGAACAAGAGATACTTGGCTTCTAAATAAACATAATTATTACCCTGGTACTATATATGCGACTCCCTAACTAAAATTAGCTTTATGAAAGGATTCATGGATTTTCCATAAATGTGCAGTATTTTTGGGCTTGTCAATACATTTTCTCGTTGTCGTTATGTTCTTTTATATGAAGAAAAAAAATACTTTACCAATAACGATCTAAAACTTTTAAAAGATGCAGTGATAAAAGACAGTTGTTATCAATTTTGAACAAAAATATATTTAATTTTACCGGTACCAACCATGTGTTTGAGGAAAAGGAAGGTTATTCCTGTGTACCGGTGAATAACAAAAACACGCATGTACCGCAGGTACGAGAACAGCAGTAAAAGGGCACACAAGCGAGTAGCCATTGTGAAAGTCTTGGTTGGTTTCCGTCTAGATATTACAGTAAAAACAACTAGAATGACACAAACGAGTCCCAAAACCTTCCACATGTCATTTAATCGAGAGAGAAATCTGTATCTGCCTTTCCTCCTTGTTTCTGTTCTTTTCCATAAAATGCCCTAAAATAGAAGAAGTAATTTAAGGTCATTCTTAGTTATTGCACGTCCTTTTTGTTCTCATTTACAATTAAGGCTTTACTGTGGTATAAGTAATAGTTATTGTATATTTATTATGGTGTATCCTGATTTATTTGGACGAAGGGCGGTGACGAGTTCGAAGCACGAGTCTCCGCCCCTTTCGTCCAAGTAAATCAGGATACACCATAATAAATATTCAATAACTTTCTTGTATCATGGCCAATCAAAATATCAATAATTGTCTTGTGACCGGTGTTCGATGCGTGATTTTTAATAAGACCAATAAAAAATCTAGTTTTTGTCAGGTGACTACGTGCAAATTCTCTCCTTCCCGCCACTATTTTTTTCTAATACGCACTTTTTGTCCGTGTTTCAACGGTAGAGGATGTCGGACTGCAGCTTTCCAACTGTGAACACGGACGATTTACGAGATTTAGGCCTCGATTTTTTATCGAATGATGATGACTTAATTTTATCTCAGGCCTGCGAAAAAATAGAAATGAACTATTGTTTTGGAGAAATTAAACTTGAGGATTTCGACATGGATTTTGACGCAGACCTAGGAAATCAAATGAATTTTGACTTGAGCCTTGAGACAGAGAATGGCGGGGTTCGTGACATGGATATGGAAACAAAAAATGAATGTGTTCAAAATTTCGAAGTACCACGATTTGGTTTTGAAGTTGAAGAGGGGGAAATTCAAGCGTTGATAGAGAGTCAAGAAAATCGCAACACGAAAAAAAATACACGTTGGTCATTTAATATTTTTGAAAGTTGGCGGCGTGAACGAAATGCGCAGTGTCAAGGGCAAGAACTCTTTATACCAGAAATCGAAACTATGGACGCGGTGCAGCTGAACTTTTATTTAGGAAGGTTTATTATGAGAGTACGTAGAAAAGATGGCAATGAATATCCTGCAAAAACATTGTACTACATTAGCTGTGGCATTTTAAGATATTTACGGGATCGTGAAATTTATGACAAGAACTTTCTCGATGCGGCGGATCCAAGATTTGCAGGGTTCCGTAAAATATTGGACAGTAAAATGAAGGACGCATTAAGCAGAGGAGTTGGGGGAAAACGAAAACAAGCAGATCCCATACTTCCCGAAGATGAGGCTACAATCTGGGAGAAAGGGATTTTCGGGATGAACAATGCAGAAACCCTTCAGAACACTGTGTTTTATTACAGTTGCAAGTTCTTTGGATTAAGGGGTCATGACGAACATCATTCTCTCCAATGTGACCAGTTTTTTCTTGGTGAGGATAATAGGGGGAAATTCATCGAATTCACAGGCAGATCAACAAAGACCTTCAAGGGAGGACTAGCTCACAAGGAACTACACAACAAGCAAATACGGCACTACTGTCAGCCCGGTAAGTCCCTTCCCCGCTTTTTATTTATTGTATATATTATAGGTTTGAGCAGGTGTTGATCCAGAAATTTTTTCCAGGGAGGGGAGGGTCCAACCCAGTCCAAAAAAAAAAATAAATTTTCAACCCATAAATTTCTTGACAAGCAAGAAAAAAAAAAAAGAAAAAAAAACAAGTCTATTGTCAAGCGTGAAAAAACCTATTTCGTAGGGGAATTGAGGGGGTCAACACTGATTTTCTAAGGGGTGTCGAAAGTCTTTTTTTTTATCTGCTTCAGTATATACATTTGATAACAATGCAAATTCCGGGGGGGGGGGGGGGGTGTTCCAGATCTCCTTCTGGATCCGCGCATGTTGAGGTTACTGTTTGCATTTTACATCAAAATACTGTGTTTTCTTTTTTTTTTTATCTCAACTCCTAAAATTAATTTTTAAAAAACGTGTCGTTGTTTATGCAAAGCTTTAATATATTTGAACGTATTTTTTCAGGGGAGCGATGCATGGCTGATTTTTTTAAAGTATACTTAGATGCTCTAGGAAACGAAGGATCGTTTTACCGCCGCCCACTGGCAGGCTTGCCCCCTCGTTATGGCTCGCAATTAGTCGGTGTTAAAAAATTAAAATCCCTGATAAAGGTAATCTGTGAAAAAGCAGGTCTGAAGGGAAACTATACAAACCATTCAGGAAAAAGAACATGTGCAACGGCACTCTATCAAAACGGAGTCGAGGAACAGGAGATTATGGGTAGAACGGGGCATCGGTCAGAAATGGGAGTGCGGGCCTACAAACGTGGAAATGCAGAGATTGCGTGCACGGTGTCAAAAGTTTTAAATCCCCCAGAACCTAAATTGCCGAAGAAAGAACCCAAGGATGCCCTTGGACCTCTGTTGGATATATCTACATCTAATAAAATGAACGTTCATGACAAAGTGGAAGTTTTGGGTCAGACCGGTGGTAGCAGTACATTTAACAACTGCACTTTCATTTCGTATTAAACCGTTTAAACTGTTGAAAGTATTTTGGGATACATGACTGTGTGTTCAATTAAAAAATAAACCTTTATTTCAGTGACAAAAGTGTTGTCTTTATATTGAAAAAAAAAAAAAATTATTCTGTAAATTCAAATTAAAAAAATTAAAACGTTGAAATTGCCTAAGTGTTCAATAATTTATTTACACGGCACAGTTTTTGCTGGCTCCGCCCATCGGTGTATCTCCAGTTATTGTACACTTGACTTCAAAGGAAAAACACCACAGCCATGATACAAATATATTTGTTTTATATAGATCAGAAATACACTTTAGAACACGTCAGGGATATTCTATCGTATTGTCACTTGAATTATGCACATACTGTAAATGTTTTATATTTAGCGTGAACGATATTTGGCGGAAATTGATTTTTGAAACAAGTAAGCGTAGATTTGAATTAGCACATTTCTCAATGTTTTTATTTATGTGTATAAGCGTTGTACTTGAATTAGCGTAAGTTTCTCTCCGCCAAAAGCACTAAAAAGAATAAACAACAAAATGTAATATGTTTACTGTAATCTACATTTTTCGACGACGATTTCTCAAAACAATAGTTACTTTTATTCATCTTTCGACTCAATATATCCCATTTTGCTGACACCTCTGCTTCATAACTGATGTTTTACTGACAGTAGACGATAAGGCCAACTAACAACTAAATTGTATGACAAACGGGGTGACATACGATTTTTGCATCGTCAAAGGTCCTTATATATAAACTTATATTCCGCTATCATCTGGTGTTTACATTTCCCAACTTATTCGGTACGCAAGAGCATGTCTGTAGATTTTTTTGATATCGAACACTGTTCGAACTCACGACCTCCCGATCACGGAGCGAGCGTTCTACCGTCTGAGCTACCGTGAACGGTACAAAAACTTTGATTTACCATAGTAAAAACTTTGATACTTTGACTAACTATAGTAAAACCCGTGGAATTAGGTTTTTAATTCCCATTCTTGATATTTTATGATATTTCTTAGTCAAAATTCAAAAAGCTTCAGAGAACTTTTTATAAACCCGACCCCTCCCCTAAAAATATAAATGTTAGAGAAATGAATTATATAAGGTTGGTGATATATGAGCACATTCATTTAAATATATTTAATTAAATGCGGATTTAATGTAAGGAAAATTCATACTATTTATTAAACATTTGCGTCATTTAGAACCAAAATTTCTGCTCCATAAACTTCGGTAAACATTTATGTAATTTATAAATGTAAATATTGCATTAGAATGAAGTAGTTTTGAAATTTAGATTAACATGTACACCCCCCCCCCCCCCACCCCGCCCCATCTCCACCAACTAAAATCGGCAAATTAGCAAAAAAAATTATCAAAATACTTTAACAAGTTAATAAACTATTATTGAAACTTTGATATAGTATGAAATATGGAGATAACGAACAGAAAGTACATTAAAACAACACAATCCTGGTGCAGAGCATTCAAGGACCTCCAAAAACATCAGGTGGGATCAGGTGCCATGAAGGAGTGAGCATTCCCTGTGAGCACCACTTGCCGGTGGAGGGCTGTACATTTAGACCTATACTCGGCACTTTGGGCCGTTGAGCAGTGAGGTATCTTTTTCGTCTCAGCATCTACTGCTACACGGGACTTCAGTTTATACGGTCTCATCCGAAGGACCGGCCTTCCGCAGTGGATTCGAACCTGCGACGTAACGATCTACTCCTTAAATCGCGGCTCTAGAGCAAACGCTCTAACTACTGCGACTGGAGAAACTCGTAAACAATAATACCATAATGCTGAAGAAACTCGTAAACAATAATACCATAATGCTGAAGAAACTCGTAAACAATAATACCATAATGCTGACGATGTCATTGAAGAAATCTAAGCCTGTCCAGACGTAGAGGCTGAATTCAAACAGTAGTAGGAACAAAGACATGTCCTCATATCTTTTTAGAGGTGTTAGTACGACAAAGCTGTACATCAGGAGGATAATCCCAAAGAATAACTGTAAAAAGGTAAAAAAAAAAAAGAGCATTATTACATAGTAAAATATTATCAACTATAATAAAATTTGCTAGGGCTCTCATAACAGTAATCGTCTAGCAGGAGACTTCTTTTTATATGAACTACCTTGATATGTGTATAAAATATACTCTGGGGAAAAGATGACGGATTTGACATATTTATCACTTTAATGCAATTTTAGAGATTTATAATTTATCAACCAACTTAACTTTGGATTTACTTACGTAATGTAGAACAAAATGGAAACAAGGGGCACCTCCTGAGACGTAAGGGTGCTTCTAAAAAAACCAATTAAGTGTCAGTACTAGCTTATCCAGTGTTAGAACTAGCATATCAAGTGTAACTACTAGAGTATCAAGTGTCACTACTAGGGTATCAAGTGTCAGTATTAGCATATCAAGTATCAGTATTAGCATATCAAGTATCAGTATTAGCATATCAAGTGTCACTACTAGAGTATCAAGTGTCAGTACTAGAGTATCAAGTGTCACTACTACAGTATCAAGTGTCACTACTAGAGTATCAAGTGTCGGTACTAGGGTATCAAGTGTCTGTACTAGAGTAACAAGTGTCACTACTAGAGTATCAAATGTCTGTACTAGAGTATCAAGTGTCACTACTAGAGTATCAAGTGTCTGTACTAGAGTATCAAGTGTCTGTACTAGAGTATCAAGTGTCACTACTAGAGTATCAAGTGTCTGTACTAGAGTATCAAGTGTCTGTACTAGAGTATCAAGTGTCTGTACTAGAGTATCAAGTTTCACTAAAAGAGTATCAAGTGTCGGTACTAGAGTGTCAAGTGTCGATACTAGCGTATCAAGTGTCACTACTAGAGTATCAAGTGTCTGTACTAGAGTATCAAGTGTCACTACTAGAGTATCAAGTGTCTGTACTAGAGTATCAAGTGTCTGTACTGGAGTATCAAGTGCCTGTACTAGAGTATCAAGTGTCTGTACTAGAGTATCAAGTGTCTGTACTAGAGTATCAAGTGTCACTACTAGAGCATCAAGTGTCTGTACTAGAGTATCAAGTGTCGATACTAGCGTATCAAGTGTCACTACTAGAGTATCAAGTGTCTGTACTAGAGTATCAAGTGTCTGTACTAGATTTATCAAGTGTCTGTACTAGAGTATCAAGTGTCACTACTAGAGTGTCTGTATTAGAGTATCAAGTGTCACTACTAGAGTATCAAGTGTCTGTACTAGAGTATCAAGTGTCTGTACTAGAGTATCAAGTGTCTGTACAAGCAAATAAAGTATCAGTACTAGCATACCAAGTAATATTTCATTGCTATTAAACAACATCAACTGTACAACTAAATTTAAAAAAAAAAGATAAACAATAAAAAAAAATACACTGACGAATATATGAAAGAAAAATCCAAATCTAAATTTTTGATTTTAATCACAGCCCAAATTGACAACATGGTACCAGCTAGCGGTGAGAACAGCTCATATTGACGACATGGTACTAGCTAGCGGTGAGAACAGCTCATATTGATTACATGGTAACAACTAGTGGTGAGAACAGCTCATATTGATTACATGGTAACAACTAGTGGTGAGAACAGGTCATATTGACGACATGTTACCAGCTAGCGATGTGATGAACAGCTCATTTTGACGACAAGGTAACAACTAGCGATGAGAACAGCTCATATTGACAACATGATATCAGCTAGCGGTGAGAACAGCTCATATTGACGACATGATATCAGCTAGTGGTGAGAACAGCTCATATTGACAACATGGTAACAACTAGCGGTGAGAACAACTCATATTGACAACATGGTAACAACAAGGGATGAAAACAACTCATATTGATGACATGATATCAGCTAGCGGTGAGAACAACTCATATTGACGACATGGTAACAACTAGTGGTGAGAACAGCTTATATTGACGACATGGTATCAACTAGCCATTAGAACAGCTCATATTTACGACATAGTATCAACTAGCGGTGAGAACAGCTCATATAGACAACATGGTACCAGCTAGCAGTGAGAACAGCTCATATTGACAACATGGTACAAGCTAGCGGTGAGAACAGGTCATATTGATTACATGGTAATAACTAGTGGTGAGACGGGTCATATTGACGACATAGTGCCGGCTAGCGATGTGAACAGCTCATTTGACGACGAGGTAACAACTAGAGATGAGAACAGCTCTACTTGACAACATGATACATGTATCAGCTAGCGGTGAGAACAACTCATATTGACGACATGGTAACAACTAGTGGTGAGAACAGCTTATATTGACGACATGATATCAACTAGCGGTGAGAACAGCTCATATTTACGACATGGTATCAGCTAGCGGTGAGAACAGCTCATATTGACAACATGGTACCAGCTAGCGGTGAGAACAGCTCATATTGACAACATGGTACGAGCTAGCGGTGTTAACAGCTTATATTGACGACATGGTAGCAACTAGCGGTGAGAACAGCTCATATTGACGACATGGTAGCAACTAGCTGTGAGAACAGCTCATATTGATTACATTGTACCAGCTAGCGGTGAGGACAGCTCATTTTGACGACATGGCACTAGCTAGCGGACTGCTTTTTGATTGATCCTTTTGTGATGACACGTAGTAATAGTAATAGTAATATAAAAATTTATATAGCGCTCTATCAATTTGAGTCCTCTAAAGCGCTTTACAATTAAAATATATAAAAAGAGACAATGTTTAAAATACATAAAAAAGACATGTGAATAAAATTAATCATAATGTCTCTATCTAAATATAAGCCATATTTATATTAAGAAATCACAAATTAAAAGCTAGTTTGAAAAGATGTGTTTTAAGATCCTTTTTAAAACTGGGCAATGAAATACATTCTCTAAGTTTAAAAGGCAGAGAGTTCCAGAGACTCGATGCGGCCTTGTCTATATGTCTATACGTAATATGAGATAAGGAATTCATAAAGTAATTAATTAACGTACCCAAAAATCTGTGCAAAATCTCAAACCGCTCGGAATAAGACCATTATACCATATCTTGTCCAAGAGACCAACGGAACATGGATGGGCAATGATATCGTACATCTTAGATTCATATGCAAATGATAGAGGTCGGGCTTGGATAGTCCAGACTGTGTCCAATTCGTCCAAAATTTCAAAAGCAAGTACTTCGTCTGTCTGATAAAGATTGTCCATCATGCTTAAAACCCGGTCTCTAAAAACTCTATCAAAGGAATAAACTAAGGTTAATTAGTTCGCATGAGCATGATCTAATATATAAATATACAAATCACAAGACACAATCTGGTATTCACTATTCCTTAGTGATGTGTAACTTTACTCATCCTGAATAAAACAATGGTAAATTCCTTCCATTTCTAAAATTTAATGGTCTTTTATATATCTTGTATATCAGCCATTCCATCATAGATATTAAAATTATTCTCAAAGTTAAATATTTAGTTCTCATGATATTTTACATTCTGTTGTCTTTTCATTTTGAATTTTGATAGGGCTTTATTATTTAAATACGGTACCAATAAATAAAGGTTAGAACACGTGTGAGACATCTACAGATTATCTCCCCTTACTTTGACTGTTCCTTTAGCTTTTCTGAAAGCTTATCATCCTTCAGTTTGGCTATGGAAGACATCTTTTGGAGAATTAATGCACTGACAAGACCAGTATCTATAGACAAATAAGTAATTCATCGGATTTTGAAAAACTTTAATTTTTAAATCTAGAACAGATCAATTCAATTCTTGAACCTTCGAGAAACATTTGTAAATCAAGTAAAAAGAAACCAGTATCTTTTTATGTAAAAGGAAAGGGGGATTTAGAAATGACACAATAAATAGAAGAATAAAGTACACGTACAGAGTTGATTGGCTACTCTCCTCCAGACCAGGGTAGCAATGTCCGTCCTATGAGTCAATAATGACCACAGAAGGACTGCCTGTAGAAGATTTTGTCGATACACATATTCTTTTCTTCTCTGAGTCCTACAGTTTGTAAATAATCTGGGATCCTCAGTTTCTGTTTTGAAAAAACAAATTTCAACACGCTGCTAAATCGCAATTAATGTTTCAAAAGATTTCTTCTTCCTTTTTATTTCCTTAAATATTGACGCCATATTTTTTCAACAAATTTATAATTATTATTCCCTAGTGCCAAAACGCTCATCTGTGTGTTCTTGACCGAATGGTTTGTAAGATTTCATTTCTGCTATATTGCAATAAAAAAAAAATGTTGCGCATTATATGGAACGCCCCTAGATTTAAGGGGTCACGACTTAATCCAATCTGGAATATCAGCATGACTACTGGGAATCTGCTGTCCTGGTGCACAGGTGCTTGTGGACAGGACCCCTGATATACCCGGGGTATTAAAAAATACAATACCCCGTGGTATAATTGTTTTAAGAAATTGTTTATTTTACGTTATTTGTTGATTTTTCCATATGGAATTCATTGTAAATGTGTGCTATAAGAATGATTTATGAAAAAATAAAATTATCTTTAAACCTGGTGTATATATACGAGGAGGAAGGGGGTCTAAAAGCATCTGTGTTCTGGCGAAGAATTGTACCTTCTCTTCTCTACATAAATTAATTATGTGAGATGCTTCAATCTCACCATTGTTCATTAATTGAATAAACTTGAATCGAAACAACGTTAACATAACAATGTTTGTATATCAATATTATTTAGTATAAATATAGTGCAGAACTCATTGTACTTATACGTTCTCTCTTTTATTTTAAAATCACTTATGCAAAGATGATCTTTAAAGGGAAAACATATTTTTGTAAAAAAAAAAAAAAAAAAAAAAAAAAAAAAAAAAAAAAAAAAAAAAAACTCACTGTTGTAATTAAGAAGTCTTTTACACATTTTCTGAGCAATTTTATGGCAATCTGTTTCACCATCAAAAAGATGCTTTGCAAGTTTCTCCTTCCCTTTCTCCATTTCCTACATCATACAGTAAAATAAACCTATGACGAGGTACTAGTGGAAAATTAGTACAAGCTTGTACATTTGCATACTGAATATTACCATCATTCATTCTTACAAAGATGTATCATAAATTCTCTTGACTTTGACAAAGTGAATTAAAAGTGTAGTTATCTTTTTGTACGTATTAAACTTTTTACGTATCTCAAAGATAAATTCATCAAATTTTTTTTGATATAATTTGTGTTATTGTTGCAAGATTTATTTTAAAAATAGATTTCATTAATAAGAAGCCCCATGGGTAACAACGCTCATATCAGTCACTATGGTTCAGTTTTCGTCATCATCAGAGTTTGTCCTCCTGTATATTCCTACGTAAAACTTTGATTCCTTCCTGTGACCCCGACCTACCCCCATGATTTGAACAACCTTGAATCTACACTATCTGAGGATACTTCAATATTCAAATGACTAATTATGATTTTGATGTTCTTGAGAGCATTTTAATGATGTGGCTCCGACCTACCCCAGCAGGTCATGATTTGAACAAACTTTGATCTACACTACCTGAGGGTACCTCTATATAAAAATGACTAATCATGGTTTTGCTGTTCTTGAGAAAAAAAACTTATAAATTTTAAAGATTTTTCCTTTATATTCCAATGTAAAATTCTCATCTCCCATTGTGGAACCACCTTACCCCCGGGGGTCAAGATTTTAACAAATTAGAATCTACACTACCTGAAGTTGCTTTCATACCAATATCACTAATCATGACTTTGTTATTCTTGAGAAGAAGATTTTTCCTATTTATTCCTACGTAAAACTTTGATCCAACATTACGGCCCCTCTATACCCTCTGGGAGTCATGATTGAAAAAAAGAACTTTAATCTATATTACTTTGAAATCTCTTATTTTCGTGAGGTTAATTTTCGTTATTTTCAAGTTATGAAGAGACCAACAAATTGATTTCCACCACGGAATGTAAAATGTCATATACATAACTACTCAACAATTCTTCATCCATGAAATCAAATTCCCACGACCCATAGTTTTTTCCTCAAACATTAAAATTTGAACCCTCGAAAAGACGTAATTTTACGGTATGTAATAAGGATTTCACATTTCTTTCAACTGTTTTAGACCAGTGATTCTTGGCAAGAAGATTTTAAAAAGATGCCAACAAATTTTTATTAATTGTTAATTATGTCTCGCTTGAAAGAGGGTGTTCATTTGAACAAACTTGAATTATTTTTACCCAAGAATGCATTGTCGAAAGTTTGGTTGAAAATGGCCCAGTGGTTCTGGAGAAGTCGAAAATGTGAAAAGTTTATAGACGAAGGGACGGACAGACAGATGGACAAAATGTGATCAGAAAAGCCCATTTGAGCTTTCAGCTCAGGAGAGCTAAAAACCATATCTTTCGTTAAAATCGTCATATATCTTGCAACAAACTAGGCAAAAAGTTTCAAAATCACAATTTAGAACATATCCCATTCTACCTGCAAATTTATATTAAATATAAAAATGCATGCATCAAAAGTGTTAAGCAATATTTATTTTACCATTAAAACCCAGCTCATGCCCGAAGAATCATTCTTTTCTGTAATGTGTGCAGACAAGGTATTCTGTAGTTTAGAAATAAATTTTTGTAACATATCTTTATATATTTCAAAATATAAAACGTAAATATAAAAAGTAAATATGAATAGGTTTTAAACTTTTAATGTTAAATCAATTTTTTGAATGCTGCAATTAAGGGCCCTCTCTACACTGCACCCTAATTTTAGGGTACTTTTGTGTAATTAGACAGACCCATAATTTGACACACACAAAAAATGAATTATAATCTGCATTCTATGACATAATTTAAAATAAATTCAAGCATTCTACACATTATATTAGACCAAGATAGAGTAGTTGAAAACTTTATTTGCTTCGATTTTCTCCATTTGAGAAAGCAAAATCAATTTTTCAAGATTATTACTTCATTGTCTTTGAAGATATTTCCTGGATAAAAAAGGCAGGCTCCCTATATAAAAAATGAATTAGTTAATTTCAAAATATCCTCCTTTAAACTATATAATTTTGGCAAAGTCTAAAAAACATTTTTCCTTAGTGTATAGAGGGTCCTTAAATGTAAACTTAATTTGATTTGAGGTATCTAATTCTCTGACCGCTTAAGGATCAGCAATCAAACAGATCTTGAGTAATACCCAGTCAAATATATATTCGACTGAACATAACGAGAGTAAATACTTTCGATCAGCAATGCATATCTGTGTAAATTTAAAACTATCTACCCGAAACGTAGAGGACATTGAGTATAATGAGGAAAAAGACATGCGAAAACATTTTATCGATGTTTAAAAAGAGTGAGCTAGAGAAGTCTTTTTGTATATTTTCTCTACTTAGATTTTTGTAGCATGGGATATGCAGATAGATAAAGTAGGTACCTTGTAGAGCTCGTCAATTAGCATGCCTGCAGCATGTTCTGATATTGGAAGGTTTAAGTCCAGAAGGGTGTTTACATAGTCTGTTCTGTTTGTAAGTAGAGCAGCTTTTAACAGGTCCTGAAATAAATCAAAATTTTATACATTAACATTAAAAAATCTCAAATCTAAAGAGACTAAATGGCAATGTTTCTCATTAGACTCTGTAGACCTCAAAATATATTCTGTGATTTCAAGAAAGCCGAATATGAGGAACAAGGGGGCTCTAATAAAGTATAACTCTAAATAACTCTACTGTTCTGTACAAGATTGTTCAGATTTTCGGAAAATATATGAAGGCGTTTAGAAAAAACATGAATATATTTATAATAGATATTTTCGTAAATAAATTCCCGATCACACTGCCTCAAATCATCAACTTAGTATTACACAATGTTTTATGTTTTAATAGTCAATGATCCCTAATTAAGTATGCATGTCTAAGCCTCATCTTAAATTTTCTTTTCAAGTTTTCATCCGAGCCGTAGTAAAAATTAAATACTATAGTACTTAAACTAGGCTATGCAACACATTTAAAGGAGCAATTTCCACAACACATTATATTCTAATCACAATGTTCAGTAAATATGTCAAGTTAGACAATTCTACCTGTGCCTCATTCACCACCTTCTCTGAAGAAGGATTTTCCATCTTTAGTTCTAGAAACTTAGAAAATCGGAAGAAGAGGTCCAATGGAAGTGAAAATGGTGATGAGAAGGTTGTGAAGCCGAGTGTTTCGTGTTTTTCTGACATGTGCCAGGTTTTTTCCTCCCTTTGCCAATTTTCTTCCAGTGCATAAGAACTGATACGATATCGAGACTGTGCTTTGTTCTTTGTATTCCTAACTTGTTCTTCTATGAAATAAATTAGCCAAATTAAATGCGCGTTCACCCTTTACATTTAAGAAATACAATACTGTTAATTAAGTGAAGCAGCACAACGATACACTTTTTTCTATATAATCAGGATATTTGTGAACATGCGGATTTTTTGGCTACTAATTTTACAAGAAAACAGCGGTTTCCCAGTCAGCCATGTAGAGTATATGATCATACGATGCTTTTTCTCCTCTATTATATATTTGAGTTATGCAAGCATTAGAAATCCTGTAAGATACAACCTCTAACTCTTCTGTGTTCACATAAAATACATACCTACAATATTATAGATAGAATAATACGATCTATTCTCGAGTTTCTCTATTTTAAACACGTAATCACGACAGTTACATCTTGTCAATCAAAGAATAAAATAATTCTCTCTTAATTATTATAAAAAAAGAAAGGAAACTCTCTTGTTTTGCAACAGTGTTCATAAATTAAAGCCTTACGTCGCGGGTTCGAAAACCACTGTGGGACGTGGATACCGGTCCTTCGGATGAGACCGTATAAATCGAGGTCCCGTGTCGCGGTAGATGCTTATACGAAAAAGATCCCTCACTGCTCAATGGCCCTAAGTGCCGAGTATATGTCAAAATTTGTAGCTCTCCACCGGCAAGTGGTGGAGTTTCCATATGAGTAAAAAAAATTCTCGAGAGGAACGTTAAACAACAAACAAACAAACAAATAGAAATTAAAGTTTCAAGTCAATTTCGGAGAGCTCCTATACAATTTTTTGCTTATGGTTTGTCGTATGTTTCGTTTGTGGTATGTGTTGCGTCCTACTTAATGCTGAAACATAATTCATATTGCTTAATTATACCTTTGTTTTTATGTTGTTTCGGGGAATCTGCGTTTTCTAGAAGCCATGATTTCTGCACCAGCTCCCCGACAGTAGAGGCAAACTGTTCTTCATTCTTATCAAGAAGGTCGAAAACACCAACCTACAAAAATTATTGTATTCCTAAATACTAAGAAAGAATTTTCTATAGGAGGATAAAAAAGCATAGAGTAAAAAGGAGCATTTGTACATATAAAACAAAATGATCCAATCCATCCACATTATGAAATTCAAACTAAAAATTAATGCATCAAAGCATTACTTGGATTTCTTAATACTATTTTTCAGTTTATGGATTTTTGTATGAAATTTATGGAGCATACTAGTAAATAAATTGTAACAATAATATTAAGATTTCGTACAGACTGGACCACAAGCAATCATATCGCTTAAAAAAAAAATTAGGTGTTAAAAAAGATAAGGGTATGGAACTCCTTTCATAGAGTACCCACATTCGCCAATAAAATACTTTAAAATCAAATGATCTAAAACTTTACTTTCTATTCATAACTTTTCACATATAAATAATCTACGTTACAACCGAAGTTCTTTCCGAAATTCCTTATACTTCCCGAGATATGCTGAAATCATATTCCAAAATTGACCTTATTTTTTTTTACTAGACATTAGCTTGGGCCTCTGAATAGTTGCACTAATTGTAAAGCGGGAACAACGGGACGAATACTTCCCGGAATTTATTCTATACTCTCTGAATATTTGTTTTTTAGCATTCAGTCTCTACAAAATTTTATCTGGTTTGATCATATGGTCTTCCTAAGTTACCAACAACCAAAATATCAAAAGATATATTATACATTCCGAAAAGATTTCGTTCAATCACAGTTCTTTTTTACATTGATAAACAACATGGCTGTGAAGTTGTTGAAACAAACATTTTCTTTTCTTTTTTTTCGCGAAAGGGATTATTACTTACTTAACTTACGATCTGGAGTAAAAAATCAACTTTAAAATGTTGAAAGATCGTGCAAATACTCTGCAGCTGTTCGCTGCAGTTCAAATACCGTCTGTATACATGTGAATAACCAGGCCCCGGGATCATGAAACATCTTAAGCTTAAGTCAAAATCTTCATGTTCTAAAATGTTATAGAAGTCAAGCAGACCAAAATTAAAATATTTTTCAATATTGCTTTACAAAAGTGTTGTTATCTGCAAATTTAGAGATTTAGTAGACAATTATGAAAAATTTTACAGGCGATTTTAAAATTTGACTTAAATCTTAGTTTGTTTCATGATCCTGGGACCAGGGCCCAAGCTAATGTCGAGTAAAGAGAAGTAGGTCAAGTTTGGAATTGATTTCACAATATCTCGGGAAGTACATGGAATTTCGGAATGAACTTTGGTAAATGTAGATTGATTATAATTTTATATGAATAGATATGAATAGAAAGTAAAACTTTAGAGCATTCGATTTAAAAGTATATTATTAGCGAAAGTGGGTACCCTATGTAAAGAGTTCCATACCTTTATGTTTTTCATACACCCAAATTTTTGTAAGTCGGATTTAAGCGATCCAAAGACCTGTGGACTGGACCAAAGAAAGTGACTGAAAACAATTCTCGTACTAGGTAAGGTCTTTCTGAAATAGCGTTCAAACTATCTTCAAGTTCCTCAATCTCTCTGTCACCAAGTTGTATCCCAAAAAGAGTTGGAATCAGTGTTCTTAATTCTAAAGAGCTTGCGTCTTTCGACTGATGCCCGGATAGAATATTTCTGATAAATAAATATTAAATAATTGTTTAACTTTGCAAATACTATCTACAATAATCTGACATTTGAAGCATAAAGTAAATTTATCAGTTTTGCTTCTGTATGATCTAACCTTGTAAAACTTTGAATGGCAGAAACATAAACAGTAGAGATCCTGTAATACCATTCTTATTTTTGGGGCCAAACTATTGTAGGTGATTTTTTTTCTTTTCTCTTTTTTCTTGTCTTCTCTTTTTTTCCATAAAATTTCGAGAAGATTAAATTATATGAATAAACCTTTTAGGATGAAAATAGTAGGAATAAAATAATACGTGTATTTAAAAATTGATGGCTAAGAAACACCTGTATTACCTGCATGAATAATGCAATGACCTTGTCAGCAAATACAATTTATCATTAAGTCGAATGATGACTGACGTTTTTCATACTAATTGTTAGGCCATGTATTGTCTTCGGATTTTTCCGTGCTTCCAATCATGTCAAGGAGCACACAGCGGTTGTTACCGGTCGACAGGGGTTGTTTACTCCTCAATGGCACCTGATCCAAATTCTGATGCTTTAAGTGGTTCGTTTTTGCCTTGCTCCCAATTTCTATTGTTTTAATGGACTTTTGAGATTAATTACTGTTCGTTATCTCCAAATTCCATGAAGCAATAACAAATACGTTTGGATGAATTAATAATTACAGTAGTCTTTATCAAATTTTGACATACTCTTACAATTTGGTTGTTTTGCATCACTTTAAATTCAAAATGATTACGTTTCTTAGGATGGTTGATTTATGTTTCATTTGCCATTGACTTAAAATAGAATGGACACCATGAGTAGAAATCTGTAGTATCTTATTCATTTATAATTTTGATTAAAGATTAATTCGACAAATAAAAGTGAAATGCGATCATGATATACATGTAGTATTCTCTGTAGATAGTCGATTTATATGATTTACATGTAAAGTAACATGTTTGATTCTAATATGTAAAAATATATATATGTCAACATGAGAAATACACTTCATTAGAAGATTTTTTTAGATTTAAGTTTAATGATTTGTAGATGATTTTCTTTCTGAAGACAGTGTTTTTAAATATAAATTACATAGAAATGGACATCAGATCCGCCAACCCGCCTGTTCCTTTGACAAACATGACAGGTATGCCATTCTCAGTCGCTAGTTTTACATGATCCACAGTCGACAAATCTCCTTCCACTAGAATTACAACTAGGGCATTTCTTTCTGAAACCAACAATAACAAGTTTATTCAGTTATGCATATGACATCAACACGATGTCTTATCTAATATCTTATCTATCTGAAGAAAATGTTACACCCGAAGGGCAATGAAAAAGCAATATGTGTTTTTTGATATAAACCATAGTAATATTTTTCAATTTAATGATTCTCCATTCGATCAATGATTAAATTTAGAACTAAAACCAAGAGTTAAATAGCTATTTAGCTCGTTATATAACTACAGTTGACAATTATCTTAAATTTGATAATATAGTTTCTCTCAAGAAGAATACGTTAAAAATAAATATTAATGATACTACTAAAATATCTGAACAATTATCTCAATCTTTGGGCTATCAGATTTTTTATTACTGTAACAAAAATCAAGAATCATTTCTACTTTAAGAACTCTCTCTACACTGCACAGTAAAGAGTTCTGATTCTATGGTATTTTTCTGCAGTTAGAGTGATCTGCCCTTAGATCTTAATTCCAATAAATTGAAATTTACAGTATATTACTCAGTTTGTAATCACTTCAAGCATTCATAACATTTTAAATAGCCAAGATAAATTAATTGAACACTTTATTTGCACGTATTTTCTCCATGGAAGTAAACAATAGTGATTTATGTTCATTGATACTTGATTGTCTTTGAACATTTTTCCTGTAGGTAAATGCCACGTACCATATATTGAAAATTAATTTGAAAAGCTCAATATTTACAAATTTATTCAATATAATTTTGTCAATGTAGAAAAAAAACTTTTTGCACTGGTGTATAGAGGGTCCTAAAACCTGAACTTTAGGTAAAGATGTTACTTTTTTTCTGACTGTCTCTCCACAATTTTCTCTAACACATACCATAACTCGATGTAAGGATGTTACCTTATCTATTGGTCTCTCCAAAGTTCTCTCAAATTTGAACTTAACCTCAAGTAAAGATTCTACCTTTGTCTGTCGGTCTCTCCTAAGTTCACTTTAACTCTAACCTAAACTCTAGTAAGGATATTACCTTTCTCAGTCGGTCTCTACAAAGTCCTCTCTAATTTAACCTAAACTCAAGTAAAGATGTTACGTTTTGCTATCGGTCTCTCCTAAGTTCACTATTTCAAACCTAAACTCAGATAAGGATTTTACCTTTATCTGTCGGTCTCTCCAAAGTTCTCTCGAGTTTAATCCTGAATTCAAGGTAATCTTCAACTTCGGAAGGGACAGAGAGATTTACAAAATTACTGTCATTCTGATGGGTCTAAAATGATAACAAAACCCATACAAAGGCGATTAAAAATTATAAATTAAAAAAAAGTAAAAATAAAAGAATTGTATTAACTAAGTATAGTCAGTACAGTAGACTGTCGAATCATAAAAAATACTCTAGTATACAAAGTATATATTTTCAAAACAAAGGAACATAATTGATTTTCAGACCAATGTGTTTATTCATTTTTATAACTAAATAAAAAAGGCGAAGATAACTAACAGTGATCGATCTCAAAAACGTACAAAAAATACAAATATGTGAAGATTACAGAGGTGAAAAATCTCAGCTCCCTTATAAACATTTTCCTTTTTTTTTGTGGAGGGGTTGTATTCAAGAACATAGTTCTAATTGTCTTTATGTATAATTTAGTTTACGAACTACAAGATTGCAATTTTAAAATGTATTTATAATACAGTTATTACATTTGGTATTCGACAATTTTAAAGCTTTATGCCTAGAGTATATGATGAACGAATAATTTTCAGCTGTGTTTTATTTATTCATCTTTTCACTAAAACGATGATGAAAGTCAGATGAGAGACAAAAAATGAAATTATTCATTACAAACACCTCAAAAGCATTTCGAATCAGATGAATATGACGATGCAGGAAGATAATGACTTGAAACAAAACTAGAAAAGACTGCTTTTAAAAATGTCTTTGACAATACCTGGTTCTTCTTGGCTTGGTCCCCATCGTCTTCTAGGACCTCTGGTAAATCAAAATAAAGACCTGTGTCCTCTACAGGCTTAGAAGGGACGGATATCAGTCGGAGGGATTTACTGGCAGCCTTTTCTAGGTAGATGTGTTCTTCCATCATTTCACGGATAATTTTAGAGACCGTCAGGGGCTCTCCTTTGCTTAGTATCCAACACTCTTTAAATATCAATGTAGAATTAAATAGAAATTCTTTCTTTTAAATGTTTAGTTTAGTTTAACTTTTGGCTGCTCATTTTCATATTAACTAGCTACAAAATGACCCAAACCATGTACAACCATGTTATGTTCGAAAATGTACTAAAAATACAGAACAGCGTAGATTGCATATGTTAGAAGTTTAAGCAATAATATAAATGAACCTCCAGCAGCCTTAGCTGCATAGATCAAGGATTGCTGAAAGCGAGATTTTGGCCACGGCTTTGGGATCAAATTGTCTGAGTCCCCAATGACGGAGAAAATCATATTTGGACGCGGGACCCTCCTGTAGAAATCCATGAAATCCTCAATATTAGTAAGCGCCTTTCCTCCTTCTCCCTCCTCCATTTCCTTCGGAGAACTATTCCTATCAAAGTTGTAAATAATTAATTAAACTTTTTACATATGCTATTGTTATTATTCAAAATAATTGTTTTCTAGCTCACATGAGCTTAAGACTAGAGGAGCTTTACTGATCAAAAAAAAAATGTCATCCGTCTGTCGTGTCATAACCTTTTCGACTTCTTCTCCAGAAACACAGGCCGAGTTAAACCAAACTTGGTACAGGACATCCTTGAGTTTAGGGGACTGAAATTTGTTTTTAAAAAAAGTAGGCCCAAACTTTCTTGAAAGCGGAGATAATCAAGAAAAGGCGACAATTTAGGATGACTGTCATGAAAACTTCTCAAGAATTAGTGGTCAAAAAAAGATGGAACTTGTGTGAAACCTGTCTGACATAGTGTAGATTTACGATTGCTCACATCATACGCCCGGGGTACTGTAGGAAATCAAAGATTAACATGGGAATATTTTGGGATAAATATTTTAAGGTTTTCTCTTCTGGAACAGCAAGGTCATTTTTTGGAAGGTAGGAATGGCAATACCATTTGAATGGAGAATTCTACTAAGAGAAACACAAAAGCCGGAATTTGATAGAAATACATTAAGGACATACGCAACGTAGTTTGAACTTTATTGTCTTTTTCCCTGGAGTTGAAGAGTTACAATACTTAAAGGAATTGTGTGCTACATTTGTATGTCTATATATGCTGTTGTACACTTCTTCTAAAACAAGTTTGGATAAACAAAACATCTAGAATATGTGTTTAGTAATTTTTGTGATTTTTCTTTGAATTATACAAGAATTTTCATCAATTGATATCTTTTCAAAAACCCCGGTAATGCATGCTGATTTTTTGTCGACGAACATCTGATGGAACTATAATCTTAAATTAAGAATATCTCGAAAAATTATCAGTAGGTAAGGTACGTTGCGTATGTCCCTAACTCTTTCTATAAAAAAAAATAAGAAATGTCGTATTTCAAAAACAAGGACAATTATTAAACTCTGATAGAAAAATCTATCGAGCCACCAACTAGTATTACACAATGGGAAAACATTTCAATTGGAGTATTACATAATCAGACAGGAATGATATCTTAACTATTTCCTTTTCATGTAATAGCAAAACTTATTTCCAATCTTTTAATTATTAATTAATTCATAGATTAATAGCACATGGAAAATTGTTATTCAATATTGGTATAAATAAATCACCATTATGTAAAACGTTTAAGGAAATGGCACAATGGAACACAGGTTTTATTTTTGAGAAGGTACAAAAGTATCTTGTAATGCTTTTTAGAACTGATGGAATAGTTTATATTTTATCCCAGATTTTTCCCTGTCAAAATGTAATATTTGGAATGTGTACAAGCCTCTCATTTACTGTATATTACTAGCAAAACACTTGTGTTAACTGTGTGATTGATTCTTTGTATTTACATTTTATTTTTTTTTTTCATTCACGGGATTTTGTTCTTGTTGTGGACTCATATTTAAAAAGCATTCGGTAAGGTTAGAGAGGAATACCAAAATTTTGTTCCTAGAACTTTAAAACTCGACTTCATCATTGTAGGAGCAAAAAATAGCTTTTAATTATTTTATATGATTATTTTGTGCACATTTTTAGGAGAAAATTGAAAAATATCTAATGACTTATAAAATATTAAACAATCGTATTTCAAAGGAAAATTGAAATGAGATTGCAAAATTAAAGACAACTGGAACTAATAATTGAAATAAAATCGGTCCCTATCAAAGTCAATACAATTTTTTTTAAAAAAAGGACTTGTTTGTGAGTTTGTTAGTCAGTGGAATATGATTTGTCATGGACTCGGGGCTATCCTGTATTCGTCTTCTTACATGTGGTTGTTCATTCCTTACAGCTCTGTAAAACAATACAAAGTTTGATCTAATATACAAAAATTCACAAGTTTTGAGTTTATTATACACAGAGGATATTCAATGTTTTTTAGTTAGATATGGAAGTTATTTTATTCGTGGGACAGGACTATTTCAAGTTCGAAGTGAAAAGTCGGTCTCACTAGTGTTATAAAGTCCATGTCCATCTACAAACATTGAACTTTCCGATTTTATTACATTTTCTTTTGGTTATCCGAACTTGTGCTGCCAGTGGTACCATGCGTTTCACCTACAAGTGTTCCAGTTGTTAATTTTCACATTGTGAAAATAACGTATTTTCTGAAAATATCAATTTAATTCTACAGCTTAATTACGGTATTTCAGTGTTGAAAATGTAAATGAACACATAAATTATATCGACATACTTCGATTTCTTAATAAATTATTTCCGTACCTGATCATTTCTCTTTAAGAGATCTTGTCTTGTCTTCCAGTTTTTCATGAATGCTTATCCCTTATTTCAAGAGTCAGAATATGTTACCCATATCATTTGCTATCCCAGTTTCAGTTTGTTACTACAGTCACACTTTAAATGGACTGAGTAACATGCATTTTTAAAAAATAACAAAGATAACATCATTGTTGCAAGCCACGTAGAAAAGTTTAATCTTTCTGAGTGTTTAAACTTTTACTTTCATGTACATTTAAGGGCTCAACGATAATTAAGAAATGAGATTTATGTAGAAACACTTGCATATTCAGGAGTGCGCATAAGTATGAAGTTGTAAAACATTGTAGCTCATGTACATCATGGTTTCTGGTTTTTAATTAACGCAATTGGCCATATATTTCTGTTATCTGTCTGATGTTTAGTCAAATACCGGTATCAATATTCAACTGTCAATAGGGTATGCTTACTCCTCCTAGACACCTGATCCCACCTCTGGAATTTCCAGGGGTTCATGTTCTATGCCCTTTTCACAGATTTTTATTGTTTATAGATTATTATTGTTTATAGATTTTTATTGTTTATAGATTTTTATTGTTTATAGATTTTTTTTTTTTGGTGAGCGATCACTGTTCGTTATCTTCATCTTTTTCACTATCATAATTAAAGAATAAATAAATAAAATTAAATAATCTTTTGACATCATGTAGATATTCATAACTCTCCGAGTGAGTTCATGAGATATATAGGATCTCCCATGATTTGTAGTTGGATATGATTTTTATCCAACGAGTTGTGTGTTTTTTATCCCCGAGCCTTGGCGAGGGGATAAAAACACACAACGAGTTGGATAAAAGTCATATTCAACTACAAATCATGGGAGATTCTTTTTATCCCATGTTTAATACTTCACAACCAATTTTTTACACTGTTTTATATAGGACTCCACTTTATTTTACTTCATCGTGCTAACGCAAAAACCATTGTGACGTCACAACTGTGGATTATGAAAAAATTATCCAATGAGTCATATCCACGGGATAAAGGGGTAAACATGGGATAAAAAGAGTTTATTGTTTTATCAAAGTTATATCATGTACACGTATACTCTAGCGTATAAGTCGGTTCGTATATAAGTCAGTTTTTTTTTTTTTTTTTTTTTTTTTTTTTTTTACAGATTATTTTGGAGGAATTGTCATTGACCTGCTTATAAGTCGTTACGATTTTTAGCTAGGATTTGTGCCAATCCCATATCAATATTCTACTTAGCAGTCTTTCAGTGTTTTGGGGTATAATATCGATATTTGATATCGTATAAACAACTTTAATACTAAAATTAAAATTCATAACATAAGGAAGTACTTGTGTTCTATGTGGTGAGCTCTGCCTTTCCTGTATTACAGAATCATGAGATTAAATTCCGGTCTTTTTAAAGGTTTATCATTTGAGTTGTTACAAAATTACTATATTTCCTCTCCAAGAAAAATCCTAATGTTTCTAGAACTCGCTTGTAAGTTGGACAATCATGGCTGATTCCATCCTTTACATCTACAAAAAGTAAAACTGACACGACAGACTAATATTTTTGCAGGCTACTATAAACTTTTCATACTATTTATCATCTTAAATGTATCTATCATGATCAGATTTCTTTAATATATATTTTTTCATGAGAGATTTGTTACATGCTTCACAATGAACTTTTATATCCATGTAACTTTTGCAGCTTTGATTTTATTAATATTTTCCCCTCCTTACTATTCTTTGATAAAAAGATACACATCTTTATTCATTTAAACAAATTCACTTCTTTCTAATTGAATAGGTTATCATACTGTTTCATATTTGGAAAAAAAAGTTCATACATTGTCATTTCTATTTATTTAGGAGGTAGAAATCGCACTTGAAAGTTCAGGGAAAGGTTTATTCGTTGACGATGATTTAGATAAATGTTTGTTTTTGTTTTTTTTACATCGAAGATTGATTGTATGCTGTTTTACGTCCCATTCGAGAATTTTCTACTCATGTGGAGACGTTACCATATACCGATGAAGGGCTTCAAATTTAGACCTATCGTCGGCACTCAAGGCCATTGAGCAGTGAGGGTTCTTTATCGTACATGTACCAACGCCTACCGTGACACGGGGCCTCGGTTTTTAAGGTCTCATCCGAAATACCCGTGACTTTCACTTGTAGTGTCGGGCGCTTGGCGAAGGAACAGTCACTACCTATGTTTACGTCTTATGTTTGACGCAGCGCGACGAACGAGAATCAAACCCAGACCTTCTCATCGAAGAAGACATACAATCTAAGGCCCTCAGAAAGAAATCTATAGTTGTTCTGTTCTTTGTTAATTGTAAAAGGAATGCTAAAATACATTTATTTTTGTGATATAATTGATCTCCACGATATGTAAGAGATGAAAGAATACTGTCATATGATCAGGAAATGGAGTAAAAACAGCTTTTTGTTTTTCTTTTAAAGTGGGTATTTAACAATAGATTATGCAATCCTTGTCCGCAGGAGACAATCTAGTGAGCAAGAAAATTAAATTGAAGAAAATATACAACTTTACAAGTTTATCTATGGTTGTGCATTTGAGAGTGTATTAAATATCATTTTGTAAAAGAAGTATTGATGCTAAGAAGCCCCTGTTATCAGTGTATTGTTTTATCTGTATTATAATGGAAATACAACAAAAATACAG